AGCCAGCAACAGGCTGAGCCTGTGGTCATTGTGTGTCTCCGGGAGCAGTGCAACCCCCCGTCTGTGGGAATCATGAGTGTAATTCCAGGATCATTAGCCGGCAACAGGCTGAGCCTTTGGTCATCGGGTGGGGGGGGGCAGTATCATTGTGTATCACTCATTCTCTCCCTTCTCCGAGATCATTGGCCAGGAGCGGGCTGGGCCTTTGGTCATCAGGTGGGGGGGCAGTATCACTGTGTATCACTCATTTGTATATTTGTATAAAGTATTATTTTCAATATTATTGTAGTTTAGTTATTAAATTGTCCTTATCTCAACCCACGAGTCCTCTTTTCCATTTACCCCTTTAATTCTCTCCCCTATCCTTGGGTGAGGGCAGGAACTATGTGAGCGGGTGTGTGTGGTTTGGGCCCCAGCCAAGGGCTAACCTGTCACAGTTTTCATGCTCAATGGTAGATAGCCAAACTAGTAACAGAGCTGGAGTTCAGTCATGAAGAAACCATTATTTACTGAAGGTGAAGATATTAAAACCTCTTAAAAAAGTGTAAGAAAATGCTGGGGGGCAGGATGGAGGGGGCAGGCATGGGAATAAGAAAGGGCTGGTTATATCTGATGAGACTGCAGCATAATGCTATCACAATCCATTCCACTGAAAACTGTTGGGGTGGGTGTTTTTAAATATAATACAGAATCAGACACATCCTAGATCCGCTACAGAGTAGCTTCTGTTAGCAGAGCAGAACCCCAATAATTACCCTCATCTGTTTCTGTTGGTTTCAGTAACAGAAAAAAGAGTTGTTACGTACGCTCCTATTCTGCTGGTGGGTGCAAACTGTCCTTAAAAGACTGGCAAAGCAGCTCATTTAAAGAGCTACTTTATCTGTTGCAGCAGCACACAGCATTTCACCCAAGCAACTTGATGCCTTGTTTGGATCAATCAGGTAAGTTAGTCAGTAAACCCAGCAGTTTTCAGTTCGTCACTACTGCCCACAGAGGGGCAAATGAGAAGGCTACAAAGCTGAACTCTTACTGTAAAGGGGGATGGTGGGGAGGAGCAATTCCTCCATCTCAGTCTGTGTTTGAACTTTATTTCCTACCTTCTCATCTCGGAAATTGAGAAATTGCTGGAAAACTTCACTTTCTGAGACAACAGGATGGCGACACATCCTTGTCATCCAAGCTTGCAGTCTCTCCATGCGCATTTTGATGAATTCTTCTTCAAAGCGCCCTGTTATACATGAAACAGTAATTGTTACATTTCTATTCTAGTACCCTCAGCTATTTTTTTAAAATTAAAATAGAATCTGTAATTCATCTGATGAGTTTTTAACTGTTTAACTCAGAACGTACAAGGAAACATTATGCTGACAAATCAGAAGAACCTTAAATTACAGTATATTGGTTACTCACCAAGAGTGCTCCTCCTTTTAAAGATAGTCAGGAAATACTAAAAAACCTGTACACCCACAATTCAAATCAATTTTTTTGGGGAAAAAAAAATAAACTTTCAGATGGAAAAATCAGGTATTCAGATGACCCAAGAGAGAAGCTAGGCAGAGGCTCAGAATGCTGACATTTTTCTGATACAGTGTAATAAATCCTTGGTCAATGTAAGGCTCAAAAACATTGGAGAAAAAGGAACTACTTACTTTCCAATTTGTCATGTCCTAGCTCACAAAGCATTTGAAATTGGACTGCTCTGATATGAACAGATTTTAAAAAAGCAGTACCTCCCATAAACATATTTCTATATGTAAATGAAAGTGCTGGGAAAAAAAAACCTCAAAAAATCTCAATAAATTATACGTATAAACCGGTTAGCATACTTACATGCAAGACTGATTTTTTTGGTAGTTAAGAGATTTTAACACAAACTAAGCAACATTTGTTTTTTTTAAACAGTAGTGCATCATCACTGTGTATTTACAATAACCTTTTAGTTTTAGCACAAACTGTGTCTTCTTGAGAGAATCTTTTCCAATTAAAATAAAAAACGCGTGATGTCAGCCTTGTAAAGCATACAGTGAACAGGATGTATTTGAAAGGAATGAGAGACTCCTCCCACACCCAACTCTTCTAATTTCCATGGCAGCACACGACAAACCTTAAACGCATATAATTCTACTGTACAGTTACTATGGCAGCAGCTCTACAAGGCTGAGTTCTTTGTCGTGGTTTTTTTGTTTTCCTTTTTGCTTTGTTTTCATGGTTTTTTTAATATATATTGGAAATATGAAAATGAGCAAGACTAGCAGGTGAAGAACTCAACTTGCAAGAAATTAAGTTTGGGTATGGGTACATTTCCTGCAACTTAGCTGGGGGAGGTGGGGCAGGAGTGGGAGCAGGAATCAATGCAGTAATACCTTGTTCCACTCAGTCTGTATTG